GTGAAATGCAAATAACTTCAGTATTTTTTAATGAGACATTAAATTTATTGATAGACTGTTACTCTCCTCTCTCTGATATGTCAAAGGTAGGGAAAGATGCCACATTTAGACATTAGTCTTGGGAATATCCTGACCATCACTCATCAGATCAAGATGCTGAGATTGTTAAAATATTTAAACTATTTCTTACTCTTACTAGAATATTGTGGAGCAGAAGTCTAGTTTGTGTCTATACAAGAAAGTTATATTTCTCATATTTGGCTGAAAAACACAGAATTTCTGCCTAAAAAGAGTTCTTTAGTTTTCTATGTTCTTTTAGTTAATTAATGAGTTTGAGCACATACTCTTAGGAAATATAGATTAACATAAAATGTTAATATAACAAAATAGTAATACATTATGTTAATAACATAAAATGGTAATATAAAAGGTAGAATAAAATATTTTACTAAAATGAAAATATATTCATCCTTGCTAATAAAAAACATTTGTTCCATCCATTTTCCACATGAAATTGTCAAAAGTTTTTTTTTTTTTTTTTTTTTTGGTACCAGGGGTTGAACTCAGAGGCACTCAATCACTGAGGCACATCCCCAGCCCTATTTTGTGTTTATTTAGAGACAGGGTCTCACTGAGTTGCTTAGCACCTTGCTATTTCTGAGGCCTGCTTTGAACTCACAATCCTCTCAGCCTCCCAGGCCACTGGGATTACAGGCGTGTGCCACCATGCCTGGATGTCAAAAGTTTTAAGCACTGAAAAATATCTATCTCTGTACACTGTTAATGGGAAGGGAAATTAGCATAGCTTTTGTGGAAGTCAGTTTTGCAATGTAGATTGTGAATTTAAAAGCATCCAAAATCTTTAACTTAAGAAATCTGCTTCTAAGAATTTTTTTATTAAGAATAGCATGGTACTCAAAGATTTATATACAAGGATGTATACACTGTGAAGGTGCAATAATCACAACTATGTGGTAATGGCAAAAGAATAGACATAGGTCAATGGAACATAATTGGGGAGCTCATAAATATACATACACATCATCAACTAATCTTCCACAAAGAGTGAAAGAAATGCAATGGAGCAAGGACAGTCTTTTCAATAGATGTTTCTGGACCAATTATATGTCTGCATCAAAAAATAAATACATAGAATTAGACATAAAACTTACACCCTGGGCATGTGTTTTGGCTCAGTGGTGGAGTGCATGCCTAGCATGTGTGAGGCACTAGTTTTGATCCCCCGTACCGACATAAAAATAAATATATAAAAGTAAGATTAAAAAAACCCTTATACCCTTCACAAAAATTTCAAAATGGATCAAAGATCTAAATGTAAAATACAAAGCAGCAAATCTCCTAGGAAGATAATATAGGAGAAAATGTGATTGGGTTTGGGTTTGGCAATGGATTTTTAGATACAACATCACAAGCACAATTCATAAAAGAAAGAATCGATAAACTGGAATTCATTATAATAAAATTTTATGCTCTGTAAAAGACATCATCAAGAGAATTAAAAGACAAGGCACAGACTGGAAGAAAATGTTTGCAAATGACATCTGATAAAAATGACTCTTACTCAAAAAATATATTAAAATAACGTCTTAAAACTCAATAATAAAAACAAATAACCCATTTATTTAAAAAAGGCCAAAGTCCTTAACAGACTCTATACCAAAGAAGATATATAGTTGACAAATAAGTGTATGAAAAGAATGTTCTACACCATGTACATGTTATCAGGGAAATACAGATTAAAATGTCATACCACTCTACCTATTAAGAATGGCCAAAATCCAAAATACTAACACCACCAAATGCTGTTAAAGATGTGGAGTAACAGGAACTCACACTTATTGTTGATGGGGATGCCAAATGGTCCAGTCACTTTGGTTGACATTTTGGCGGTATCTTACAAAACTAAACATACACTTAACACACTACCTAGTAATAAGAGTTCCTGGTATTTACCCAAAGGAATTGAAAACTTGTATCTATACAAAACCTGTACACGTATGTTTATAGCAGTTATTCATAATTGCCAAAACTTGGATTTAACCAAGATGTCCTTCAGTGAGTGAATGGATAAATAAACTGGCAAATCCAGGCAGTGGAATATTATTCAGTGCAAAAAAGAAATGAACTATTTAAGCCATAGAAAACATACGGGAAATGTAAATGTATATAACTGAGTAAAAGAAGCCAATCTAAAAGTGCTAAATACTGTATGATTCTCCCTATATGACAGTCTAGAAGATGTTCAACTATGGCAATGGTAAAGTGTTCAGTGGTTGCCAGGGTTTGGGGAAAGAATGAGTGCATAGACAAAGAAAAAAGGATGGTGAAATTTAGGGTGGTGGAATTACTTTGCATGATATTGTAATGATGAATACATGTCATTATATATTTATTCAAAACCAATAGAATGTGCAATAGCCAGAGTAAACTGCAATATAAACTATAGACTCTTGGTGATAGTTATATGTCAATGTAGATTCATCAATAGAAACATATTTATTGGCATTGAACCCATGATTGCTCCACCACTGAGCTATATCCTCAGTCCTTTTTGTTTTATTTTGAGGCAGGGTCTTGCTAAGTTGTCCAGGCCTCTAAATTGTGATCCTTCTGCAGTAACATCCCCAACTTCTGGGATTAGAGGCATATGCTGATCTTCCTTTTTTATGTAGATCCAAGTTTCTGAAATATGTCATTTTATTCCTTCTGAATAATTTCTACTGACATTCCTTGCAAAACAGATTTTTTTTGCACTTTGATCATGATATACATAGGTGTAGATTTTTTTTTCCATATATATTCTAGTTGGTGTTTGTAAAGCTTCCTAGATCTGTGCTTTGGTGTCTGTCACTGATTTTGGAAAAGTACCAGACATTTTTGCTTCAAATATTCTTTTGTTCCTTTCCTTTATTTCTTTCTCTTCTGGTATCCCTGTTATATATCTGTAAAAGTTTTCTTATTTTCTTTCAGTTTGGGGATGGTATGTTCCTTTTTTCCATTTTATTTTAGTTTTTGGGCTTTCTGTTGGCATTTCTTTAATGTTCCAATCATTTATTCCCATTTTCCAGTGTATAATGATCCTGTCAAAGGCATTGTTTGTTTTTGGTTACAATATCTTTAATTTCTCCAATTTCCTTTTGATTCTTTCTTAGAATTTTCAACTGTTTTCATTACTCTCATATTATTGCATATTGTACACTTTTCTACTAAAATCCTTGTCATATTAATTCTAATTATTTTTAAAGATATTTTTTGCAGTAGCGGGGATTGAATGAAAACATATTATTTTAAAATCCTGGCTTGATCATTCCAAAATATCTGCTATATCTGAATTTGTTTCTGGTGCTTGATTTGTTTGAAAATCAAGTCCTCAGACTCTGTTTTTGGGCTTTTAGTAAGTTTGTAATTTTTGATTGAAAGTTGGACATGATGTATTGGGTAAAAGAAACTGAGGGAATAGGCCTTTAGCATGACATTTTTTTATTAGGGTCACTAGAAGTTAGGCTCTGTTTACTATTTGTAGTAGTAATGATGTAAAACAGGCTAAAATGTGTTTTGCCCTCTTCTTTTTCTCCTTTATTGCCTTTGGAATCCTTAGGTTCTGAAGAAAATGGAAATAAAACTTTGAAAAGTAAATTTCAACCTTTGGCTGGTTGGAAAGATTTATAGAACGTCTTTAAACCAATAAGTGATATGGAGCATTTATCTCAGTATTGTTTTCATTTGATTATTAGTGAGGTTGAATATTTGTTCATATTTATCCTTTGTTTTCATTTCTTATTCCATAAATTGCCAGTTCATGTTCTTAAATAGTTTTTCTATTGAATTTATTGTTCTTTTATTGATTTGAATGATTAAAAATGTTCTAATACTACCTTGTTTATAATTTATTGAAAATATCTTCTCCCAGTTTCTTGTCTATGTGTCTTTTCTTAACTATTTTGATTTCCATAATCAGAGAAATGTATTCTAGAGTGAGGGAAAGCAATATGTTTGCTAAAAGAAGAGTATTGGTTTATTTTGACCTTGTTTCATGAAAATTAAGAGATGGAAGAGGATGGGGTTAGAGGATAAACTGCTTGATTTGGAAATTCAGTTTACCAATCAGTTGTCAATTATTTACATTTACTGGCCACCGTGTGCTAGGCCGTGTGGTGGATAGAGAGTAAAGAATGAATGTTGCCTACTTTTGAGGACTATGATGAAGAAATAAACCATGAAACATAAAACAAGTAACATGGTATATGAGCTCAAGTGTGCTATGCTACAAAGCTGTGGCTGCCCAAATTTCTATTCCAACAAAGGGAAGTGTGTGGTTTGAGTTAATTGGGAGTTGTTCATGCAAAAGGCGGTCTATAAGCTGAATGGGAGCAGGGACTATCTATAAAAATTTTTGCTCTTTGTTTTGTCCCTAGCACTTAGCACAGTGCTTGACAAACAGTAAATGCTCAAATACTTGTTTAATGATTGGATGATGTTAGCATGTGTGGTCAAGGCCATTTACAGAGACCTAACACAAATTGTGTAATCCACTGCTTCTATACTATCACTAAGCAGCTTTTAGAATGTTCTGATACATCCACATTGCAGACATTAACTTGCATTCCCAAAGCAAGGGGAACATTAACTTTAAAAAAAAATGGACACACAACATGCTACCTTTTCTTACCTTTATATCAGAACAGTAGTTAAGATTTAAGACTCAGACAAATCTTGGTTTGAGTCTCCTTTCAGTTACTGATAATATGCTTCTTGATTATCCTCATCTATAAAAGAAAGACTATTGGTAGTATTTACTTTATGGGTCATTGCAAGAATTCAATAAAACACCAAGCCAGTAGTACGGTTCTATTGATATTTGGTATGCTTTTTCTCCTGATGTATATTTATTAAAATGGATGGAATATATGATTGATTTTAGATTTTGTGACTTGGTTCATGTTTACTAACAAGTATTTTCTCTATCTCCTTTCTCACAGATTCAGAGACATATTGTGTGTTTCAAGACAAGAAGTACAGAGTGGGTGAGAAATGGCATCCTTACCTGGAACCTTATGGTTTGGTTTACTGTGTGAACTGCATCTGCTCAGAGGTACAATCCCATATGACTCAAAATTTCCCAGTTTGTTCTTTAGCAATGCTCAGATGGCCAGACAGTATAGGTGATAAAGGCTTAAACCAAACGAAGAAAGAGCCAGGAACAGTGTTGCCTGCTTGGAAGGCTGAAGCAGGATGCCTCAGCATATTAGTGAGGCCCTAAGTAACTTACTGTCAGATTTTTCAAAAACGGGGCTGGGATTGTAGCTCAGTGGTAAAGTACCCCTGAGTTCAATCCCTAGTCCCCCCCCCCAAAAAAAAAGAAAGAAAGAAAGAAAAGAAAAAGGAAAAAGAAATGAAGCAGATTGCAAGGAAAAAAAAAATCTGTTTTTTTTCCTGTACTGCTTTTTGGCTTGATTTGTATGGGATCTCTGAATAATTGCTATAGACAGGTATCTATGGTCTTTTAGACTAATGATATAGAGCATGGTGGTAGAAAGCAGAAGAGCTTATATTAGAAAAAAGCTCAATATAATCTCTGGATTATAAGACATAATATTTTTTGGAAACTATTTCCAAGCCTTGCCTTAAGAGAGGAGATTAGGACAGATTATATACTAGTTCATTGGGAGAGTATATTTTATGTAGTCTCAGCTAATAACTTTAATTAAGACTGAGGCTGAGGTACCTTGGCCTGTATCTTGTGAAGATTAGAATTCTCTTGCCCTGGCCTTGGCTTCTATCACATCACTTAAACAGGCATTTGGAAAGTTTAAATGCCATCTTTGTAATAAATTAAGCAGGTAGTTTCACCTTCTTTCCATGGTCTTTACTCAAGATCACAGCCACGGTCTATCTTCCTGAATAAGCTTCTATCATTGTAGTAGGCCAGGGATTTTCAGTGTCTGCACTTTTGACATTTATGGATAGATATTTTGTGGCGGGGTCTGTCATATGCATTGTAGGATGTTTAGCAGCACCTCTGCTGTGGATCCACTTAATGTCAGTAGCGCAAATCCCAGTTGTGATAACCAAAAAAGTCTCAGACATAGTCAAATTTCCTGGGGAGTAAAATCACCCTTGGGGGAGGACTTGTGCATGAAGCAAATTAGGAAAGGAAGCTTTGCACTAGATCTTAAGGATTGAGAATTTTGATCATATGGAAAAAAAATTCAAGACCGTTCTCTTACTGTCTTACTTGAGGACTTGTTTAAGGAATGAAATTCCTCCCACTTGCCGAGCTAGAGCAGGAACACTCACATGCAAGCTTGGCATTTTTTTTCTTCCATTTAACAGAAATTCGGGCTTTCCAAGCCTAGTCCTTTCACCCATTTAAAAAATTTTTTTTAATTTTTAATTTTTTTAAATTTTAATGTTTTATATGACAACAGAATGTATTCCAATTCATATTACACATATAGAGCACAATTTTCATATCTCTGGTTGTACACTAAACAATTTTAAGGATGCAGAAACCTGACCTTCAAGTAATATTAGGAGATATTAGAAGCAATGGGTTCTAGATTTAAGACAAATAAAGTTTCTGACCCTGGCTCTGCCACTAGTGAGCCATGTTGTTTCGAACAAGTTACCTAACTTCTCTGAGATTCCCTCAGCTTCCTCTTCTTTAAAATAAGATAATGATATTACCTATTTCATGAGGCTGTGGCAAGGATTAAAATCACTAATTCATTTAAATCACTTAAAGCAACGTTCGGTCATGATAAACATCTAAGAAACAATAACTGCTGTTGCCATCACCGTCATCATAATTATCATTGTAGTTATTATTATTATTATTATTAAACGGTTAACCCTAGAACACGATTCAGTACACAGCATTAAGGATCAGTTTAGATCTCACCTGGAAAGTGTGCCTTTGGTGTGCTTTGATGATCTCACCTCCAGATGATATGACCAGTCTCTGAGAAGTGTGGTGCATAAGAAGCTTCTGTGGTGTTTCCAAATGTAACGTTCCAAGGATTTATTGTAGAAAGCACACAATAAAGGAAAATAGGTTGTGGTAAAGTGATTACAATTTGTATAAAAGAAGTCTGCCCTTTTAAATGGATAGGGCATGTATTAAATAGAGTACCTGGGGACTGATTAACTGCCTGGTTTGTCATAATTTTATCAGATTCTTGACCCAACACATTGGAGATAGACAGCTAACCCTTGGGGGCCAAGGCTTTGATGTCTGCAAGGCAGTGAAAATGTTAATAGGATCCCAATGCCAGAAGCTGATGCACTAGGCATCTTCTCTCCATGCTCTTCACTACCCTTTTCTCTACAACAGCCTTACAGATACAAGTAGCCCTTGCTTCAAATGAATTATGGATGGGAAATGTAAATGTGAAATGTATTTTGAAAGTCTTTCTTTGTTCTAGCAATGGCTGAGAGCTGTCGGAGTTTGGGATCATGTAATTGTAAGTCAGGCAGAGACCCAGTTGCCCCACCCAGGCATAATACATAATCAGCTCAATTCCTAACTCTAGCTTGTTCTCAGAAAACATTCTGGCTGCAAAGGGAAATGAGAATTGTCACTCTGCCTACTGGACCAAGGCAGGCTTACATAGAATCCAAAATCCATGTGTTAGGGATACTTTCTTGCCCAGGGGAGGGTAACAACTCGAGGGACCCATTGCTCATCATTCTTTCCCTTAAATGGCATTGGATAGGTGATTATGAAATCAGAGTGGGATCTTAGAAAAGACATGCAGCTAGAGAATTAGGGAAGGGTAGAAATGCCCAGAGCCAGACCAGAAGAAGCTTCCCACAATTAATGGTAGTCTTTGAAAACTGGAGCAGTAGTGATCCAGCCTTAGAAAAACATGCCAGTAAGCTATCAACCAACCCAGAAGAGGTGCTAGTGATGAGAAAGGAAAGAAAATGCTGATTGCATTCAGCTTCTTGGGAATGTTATTCATTGTCTGGGTGAGTCCCTGCATGACTGTTTTCCAAACTGGCATGATCCCAGTGACCTTTGAAAGATATTTATTCTTTCTTGGTGCCTCCTTCTTTCAGAATGGGAATGTGCTTTGCAGCCGAGTCAGATGTCCAAATCTTCATTGCCTCTCTCCTGTGCATATCCCTCATCTGTGCTGCCCTCGCTGTCCAGGTAAACCAGTTTGCTTCTTCTATTCCCATCTGTGGTTCTCCTTCCTCCCTCTTCACCCAGTTCAACCCATCTCCCCTAAGTTCCCCAGAAGGGAAACTGCCAGACAGAAATAACAGTAGGACACTTTTAGGCAGCCCAAACTGGCCCCTAAATACTGTTTATAGCCCAAGCGGGACACATTCTAAGCTCTAATAAGTTATTGGGTACCCAGTAACAAATTTTTATTGGGCTTTTAATCATTTGAAGGGGGATATCAACTGGGGGAAGGGAATCGTGGCTCAGAGATTTTCTGTCATAAACAGCCTCTTCCTGCCATGGGCAGCAGGCACCAGGGGAGTTGCAGCATTGCAGCAATTAGTGCTGGAATTGCATCCAAGCATAGCTTCGAAATGATGAGGGGCTGTTCATAAATCAAAGGAGCTGAGCCAGTGAGGTTTATGACAGTATAAAGCTGCCTGCCTGTTGAATAGTCACCTCCTCCACATTGCATGGTTATTAAGTACACGCTGTTAAGAGCAACTCTGGGGGGAGCCAGGCAGAGACTTTTTTCACAAGACCATTAGGACCACTAGTTTCATGATTTGTGGTTAGGGTGTTTTTCTGAGGCAGGGACTCCGTCAATGACACTGTTCATGTCTGACTGGAGCCTGGTTCCCACACCAAAGGCGTGGAAGCATGGAAAGATTCAGAGAATGTCTGTGCTCCCAACAGCAGTCCTAGGAAAGCTATGTGACAGTCTTCGGATCTGTGAAGTAGAAGCCTTGTCATCCTGTAAGTCAATTCTGTTTCCCTCTAGGACAAAAGTTCTTGATTCTGGGTTCTTGGGTGGACTTTAAGGAGTCAGAGAATGCTTTAAAATTGTTGGCAGTTTTGGTGTAACTATGTACAGATGAAAATTCTTTTAGAGATGATCGATCCATAGCTTTATTGGTATCCCTAGTTTGGCATTGTTATTGCTATTTCTTTATAAATTATACTTTTCTGCATCAGTGAATACACTCTGATGAACACAGGCAATTCTTCCCCTGATGGGAAAGATCTTACCAGGTCACAGGTTTATCCTTCTGAGTATTGGTGATAATAGTACATGCTTCAAGATATGAGAGATTGATTTGGCATATGATGAATCAGAAAACTGTTTTTTTTGGAATAAATTCCTACATGAGGCTTACTATTTTTGTATATGATTATTTGTTTCTGCTTAAGCTGGATTATAAGGGTGTGATATATGAGAGGCTCTGGTAAATGGGAGTAATATTTCTGATAAAATGACTACTCTGGGGTTGTTATTTTTTTTAACCTTCCATGCAACCTGTCAACTTGCTTTATAAAAGCTTTCTTTCCTAGAATTCTCCAAAAGTGGTCTAATACTATAGGAAACTATCTAAACCACTATGGCATGGCCATGACACAGAACCTAGTAAAGCATAAACTAGAGTATGGCTGTCACCTACCCCAATTGCCTGGGAAGCAGATGGTAGGAAGCAAGTATTGAGAAATAAAGGAAAGTATAGGCCAGCAATTATTTGAAGCAAAAAAAAATGTTCAAAGAACTGAGCATATAAATGTTTATAGCAGTGCAATTCACAATAGCCAAGTTATGGAACTAGCCTATGTGCCTGTAAATAGATGAATGGCTAAAGAATATGTGGTATATATATACATAATGAAGTTTTACTCAGCCATAAGGAAGAATGAAATTATGAGATTTACAGGAAAATGAGTGAAAATGGAGAACATCATGCTAAGTGAAATAAACCAGACTCAGAACGTCTAAGGTTGAATGTTTTCTTTCATATATAGAAGCTAGGGAGAAATGGGAAATAAAAAGGGGGATACTATGAAAATAGATGGGAGAACAATGCAGTAAGGGAAGAGAATCAGGAGGAGAGAAGGGTAGGAATTATGGGATTAAATTGGTCAAATTATGCTATGTGCATGTATAAAAACATCATGATGTGGGCTGGGGCTATAGCTCAGTGGTAGAGTGCTTGCCTAGCATGTGTGAGGCACTGGGTTCTATCCTTAGCCCCACATAAAAATAAATAAATAAAATAAAGGCATAAACAAACAAAAACACATCATGATGAATCCCATTATTGTGTATAGTTGTATTGCTCAATAAAAACCATAAAAATTGAGGTCCTAAATCCCAGAGGACAGGAAATGGAAAGAATTGAACATCATTTTCTTTTAAGACTTAAAAATCTCATTTTACAGAGTATACAAACAAGCTTTCTTTTTTGTTTTCCTTCTTGCTCTTGCAGCTCACTTCCTTGTCAGTTCATTGTACTTCTTATTAACTATGCAAGATCTTTCTAAGGATAATAGTGCTAAAGTTCTGTAATCCTTATATGCAAAAATGTCTTGAGTTTTGAATGATAATCGGGCATGTTCATTTTCCCTCAGTACTTTGAAGATATTAGTAAATGATTTGTTGACTTCTTTTGTTTGTTAATAAAAGTCTACTATTCGATTGTACTTTTTGGTAGGTCTTTTTGTTTTCTTTGTCTAGCTTTTCATATTTTCTCTTTTTTCTTTCTTTGTTGCACATGGTGAGATGTGTAGATATGTGATTTATGTTTGTTTAGCCAGCTCTGCATATGATGTTTTTCAGTCAAAGTACTTAATTTCCTCTTCAATTTGCCGTCATTATTTTGGTAAACATTCCCTTTTCACTTTCTATCTTTTTTTTCTTATTCTCAAAGTTTTATTTTATGCTTTGTATCTCATTTAATTTGTCTTCTATGTCTCTTAATAGTTCCTTTATTTTTCTGTCTCGGTATACTTAATGTTATTACTTCAACTCTATACTCCAATTCATGTATTTTTTCATGTATACTATTTAGTTCATCTATTGGGTTTTTCTGTTTATTTTATATTCAATAAATATATTTTTCTCCACTTTTACAAATTATTTTAAAAATATCTACTAGTTGTTCTTCTGTAATTCCACATTATTTTGGGGATCTTTTTTTTTTATTTCTTCATAGTATTTTAAATGCATTTAATGTGTACTTCATATCATTCTAATATCTTTATTTATTTAGATGTAAATTCTGAACCTTTTTGTGTTTCTTGGAAACCCTTCTTAGTTCTGAATTTTTTCTTAATTTTCTAGTTTTTGTTTAAAAGCTCATATCTCTGGGAGTTGTGTCTTACATAAGCACTTCCTTCTTTCTAGAATTGTTGTTTCTGACTTTGTGGCTCACTTAGCTCTAAACCAGGTTATGTATTAGTGTCCCAGCTTGTGTTCCTCATACCTAGGTGATCTGTTTCCACCTGTTTTCTTGTGCAGTGCTACTCGCTAATAACAAAGATCTTGGACTGGTACCTCAGGTACAACTGCCTACTTTGGACAATCAGTGTGCTTTAGGATACAACTTTGGGTGGGCAGAACTATGTCAACCCCTTATTACATATGAGAAGTGTGACCCTGTTACCCAGCTACATAAGTCAGCTTTCTATCATGGTGATAAAATACTGAGAAAATCAACTTAGAAGAGGAAAGGTTTATTTTATTAGTTTATAGTCTCATTTCAGTTCATGGCTGGCTGACCCTTTTGCCTTTGAGTAAGTGGTTAGTCTGTATATCATGGTGGGGAACACATGCTGGAGGAAACATTTCACCTTGTAGCAGCTAGGAAGCAGAAAGAGAGAGAGAAAAAGAGAAAGTGTGAGAGAAAGGGGCTGGGATCCCAATATTTCCTTTCAAGAGCACTCCCCCAGTGACCTAACTTCTTTCCATTAGGCCTCACCTCCTGAAGGTTTCACCACCTCCCAATAATGCCATATAATGATGAGCAAGCCTTGGACACATGGGCCTTTGGGGAACATTCAAGATCTAAGCCCTCATACCACTTTCACTTAGGAAGCCTCTTGCAGGCTGTAGTTCACTGGAGCTGTTTAGAACCAACTATCTGTATGTAGCCTCAACTGCCTTTTGACCCCCTTTAACTACTGATCTTTCTTTCTACCTATATTTTATTCCACAAAGAGTTTCATTTTGTTTCTGTAATTTTTCAGTTTTAAAGTTTCATTCATTTTTCAGCTTCTCACATCATTGCTCTTCTCTGTTTGGAAAAGATTTCTCATGTACTATCTTTGCCATGTTGAACCAGAATGCAACTAATCTTTCTATTAAAGATAAAACAAAATCAATGGGTTTAAATCATAGCACAGAAGAATGGAGTTTGATAAAGGAAGGCCTTTGGGCTACAGTTGTTAAATTCTGAAATAAATGACTAGAGTATTTTACTCTCTTTACTATTTCTAGAAATAAAATGTACCCACCCATCTGAGATAGACTTGGCACAGCCCTGATTTGAGGTAGGGCAATGGATGTGATGACTCTCTGTATTCCTTCCACCCCAGTGAATATTAGGCATGAAGAAACTCATGCCTTCAGGGCCACAGAAATGTTTGGTCAAAGGAAGGGGCTCTCATTTTCTGTCTTAATCTAATAGAAGACACTGTGAAAAATGTCCTCACTTAAAAAAGGAGTATTTAAAGCCAAGATGATGAACAAATTTTCTGTCCAAAAGAGAAAACCAGTTAGTGACATACATAAGGCACTACTTTTACGTACAGTCCTATATCAGCAGTATGATATGGAGGAACATTATCTAGATAGTGACAAACTTGATGGGGCAGTCCTACTTGCCATGTTTAGTCAGGAATTTTTCCATTGGAAAAGATGGAGGAGCTGTCTATTTCCATTTTTTCTGTGTTTCTCAGAGTTCTGACTTTTTAAACTCCTTACCCTTGAATTGTCTAAGCATCTCACCTGTGTTTGAGGTTTTTCTCCTGCAGCTCTGGTTAAACCATGGCAATCAGAGTATACAGACTACTTTTCCAGAGTTTCCAGAGAGAAATATATACTCATTTCCATGAACAGCAAATGAATTTTTTTTTCAGCATAACTTGTCCAAGTCTCTGTGGCAGAGGTCAAGTCTTGGTCACATACCACAGGGCTCTACCAGGCCCAAAGAAGTTGGTGC